GAAAGCTGCATGGAGTCTTGATCTTGAGTGTGGGTGGAACGCCCTCAATCAGCGGCAGGCTGACCTTGCAAAGAAATTGCAGGGCCACATTCGCCCCCGCTTCATGATGGCAAGCCCACCCTGTACCATGTACAGTCCACTCATGAGGCTATGGAACTTTCGCAAGATGCAGCCAGCTGTGAGGAAGAGACGGCAGGGTGAGGCCGACTCCATGGTTGACACGGCCGTTGACCGGTGCCTGGAACAGCATGACCGTGGTGATCTCTTTGCATTTGAGCACCCGGCAAACGCATCCAGCTGGAGGCAGCACAGGAAGCTGGCCAAGGCCAGGAAGACAAAGAATACTTACGAGGTTCTTTTTGACCAGTGTGCAGTGGGGCTTCGGTCACCAAGCGGTAAGCCAATGAAGAAGCGGACCAGGCTTTGGACCAATTCACTGGCCATGGTCCGCCGCTTCAAGGTCATGCAGTGCAAGTGCCAACAGCCACACAAGCGGATTTGCGGGTCAGAGATGGGCTACAAGCTCAGCAAATGGGCTCAGTGCTACCCAAAGAAGATGGTCAATACTCTTCTCTTGGGCGCCAAGGACGACATGTCAAAGTGAAGCAGTAGCAGCGCCTCTTTCGGAAATTTGATTTGAACAGGCCAGGTTCTTTGGCTTGGTTTGTTTCATTCAGCCCAATTCACGAAGCTAGACACGGTTGTGGCCAAACCAGCTGGCCATAATTGTCAAGTCGACCATGCAATGGGGAAGCGGACCATAAAGGGGGCTTAAAGGGCTTGTTTTTGGTGTCACTGTTTTCTTGAATTATGCTGAGAAACATGAGAGTGATGACAGTCAGGATTCGATAGGTTCTTAACTAGTTGGAATGTCAGCAGCTGACCCAGCATCTAAAGAACATTTTCTTTCATTTCCTGTGTTGTAGAATTTCCTGGAGAGGCTGAGAGGGAATGCGTGTTTGCTTCTATAGATGTTCTGCAAATGGCCTGAAACACTTTTAGATGGCTTTTTGTGAGTTCTGTTAGGCCTGTTAGTGTCACCGTTGATTGGAGTCTCTGTAGAAAATCTTAGGTGTTGTCTAGACTCAGTGTGAATGGTATATGGTATATGTTCTAGCCCTCTGGCGTTTGTCAGCGTGGCTCAGCACATATTGAATTCTTTCTTAAAAATAATCTTAAAAAGAATGAGATCGCAAACCCTAAACCCTAAACGTTGTCGGCATTCACACGGCGGCAGCGGATAGGGACCCAGTATCACATGATTTCTTCAAGCGATTGGTAGTGAGTGTCCCCCAACAATCGCTCGAATCTGAACACATCCGAGCGATAATCTGTGAGTGGGAGTTCTGATGGGGACGGACACCTACAAAAATCCTAGCGAAGTTGCAGGCCCAAAAACCATGTTGGCACAATCGCTTGAAGACAATTGTCTTCAAGCGATCTTGGCCAAATCAGCCACTCAACCTAGAGAAATTGGTTTTGTTCTCAAGCTCCTTATTTCTATTGATTTTAGCTTTTGGGGCCAGCACTGCTTCAACACAATTGTCTTGAAGCGATCTCAGGATGTTAGATTCTGACACCCCTGGTTGCTTACCTTTAACTTTTGCCCATGCCAAGCTCCCAGACCTATGTGTGCCAAGGCCTGGGCCTCACCTTCGACCACATGACCAAAGAGCGCACAGGCAGCATCCTTTTGGCCACCCAACGCCAAGTGGTTGACTTGTTGAGTGCTCTGCAGGAGTGTCCGGTTTTCCATTCAATGTTTATGATGCTTGGTCCGAATCCATGTGATATCTAAAGTTTACCTTCCTATTCTGTGTAGGCCTGAAAAAGGTGGCTTTAAAGGTCGACTGTATTCTGTATATATGAATGGAGTGAACTACTTCTCTGTTCAGCTAGCTACTGTGTTGCCTCACACTGGCGCCAGGCGAAATCTTCTTGCTACCTCGGGGCAGTCAGGGTCACAGCAGTGAAGCAGTGGCAGGGTTGGGAGTGTGAGGATCAGCTTGAGGTTGTGAGGTTTCATGGAACATAGGTCCAAGTGTTTCAGAACTTCAGAACTCATGACGGCTGAAACATGTTTGTTGACTTCTGAATCTCCACGCTGCTGTCTAGAGTTCTGAGTGTTGAGGGCATTGTCTGGTGCCCACTTGCGATTTGTGCCATGAACGATAACGCGCCGATGGAACTTGATGGGGGCGAGCCACCAGAGCCACCAGTGTTTGTTCCTTTCCAAGGCCCTGCTGAGAGCATTGCTGACTCTGGTTGTCAGTCTGTGGAAGACCAATGGCAACTTCACTCTACTGCTGTGAAGGGAGATCTGGACAAGTTCTGCAATAAGGTCCAGGCAGGTGTCCAGGAGGCTCTCGCCAAATATGGTGGCCCAGATGCCTTCCTCCGAGCTCGATTTGGGGAAAAGCGGGAGCTCCAAGGTTGGCTAGACTTTCTTGACACTTTGCAAGACTCGTCCGTGGCAAACTACAGTCTGGATTGTTCATTGCCTGTCAGCAATGTCCAAGAGTTGAGCAAGGTGTGGTTTTCTTTCATCTTGACCGCGACTTTCACAGGGTATCGCTAAATGTAAATAAATAAATATTTGTATATATATATATATACATAAATAGAAATATATGTTTATGAGTGACAGTAAATATCAACAATCCTGGCATAAACACAACTGAATATATTGAATCAGTGTCAGCCACTATGCAACAATCTGTGGGTCTGGTTTTCAGTGTGAAGTTGCCCTAGTTCAGATTCAACATCCTTCCACAGCCTTTGCTGCCATCTCCCTGAGGGTCAACTGCTCAATTTGCACTTGGGAACCCTTTCCTTCTCGAGAGCAGCAAGCATCCGCGGGCCTCCTGAGCATGACACAGTTCGCCTACTTGTGGATGAAATCTTGTTGGACGGCTTCGTGACACAGGGGGAGCCGCTGTTGGTGACTCAACCTGCAGACCTGCTGGCTGAGTTGACTGAGGTTGGGTTGCAAACGCTTAAGCTGACATTTTTTGGAAGAAAGCAGGGGGCCTCCACGAAAACTGACCCCCAAATCGCCGGTGGAAACGGACCCCATCAACTCTGGGTTTTCTTCCTTCACTCTTCCTTCAAAATGCAACTTCCTGGGGTCTGTTTGAGGGCCCAATCGGCCTGTGTTTGGTTGCTGGCTGACCCAATTGGATTTTCTTTGTGAAAATATTGGAGAGCACCAACGCAAACATAGTCTATTGTTGGATGGGGTGGTTCGCGCCAACCTTTCACCAACAGGAGAAACTCAGGGCTCCTTGGAAATCAACCCCTTTCGCCAAGATGGAGCCTTTCACCGTTGGGTATTTCAAGGGGCGAACGCGAGCGATGACTCTCCTTTGCATCTTAGCCATCATCCATGACCTTCCTGAGCGAGTGAACCTGGCCGAGGCAGGATTGCCTTTTCCTTTTGACCATGCCACATGATAGAAAGACCGCCGCAAGTCTAAGTTCAGATACTATGTATGGTAATTTGTCACCAAGGACATTTCTTTGCAACAAACGGTTTTCCATAGATATTGATTTGGCCTGTAAAATGAACTCACTCTGAGAAAGGTTTTCTCACAAGTTCCAAACCCTGCCTGGTGCTTAACTATGGCTTTGCGAGGTTCATCCCAAGCTTCACAAGAGCCTCCAGTGGATTTGCGCGTACCGGGTGCAGCTGCCGTCCAAGAAAGATGAACTTCTTGGCAATTTTAAATTGTCTGTGAGGGGTTCCATCCGAAAGGCTCCGAATGTCGTGTCCAGAACTTAGTGGTTGAAGCGCAGAAATCAGTCTAGTCCCAGCTCAGCAGGAGAAAAGAACTGAACATTGAAATGAAAGTTAAATCACGGCTGAGAGTTTCCATTGTTCAGGACTTGGATTTCCAGCATTGTGCAACTCCAATCCCATGACACCTCCTTCGATGTCGCTGCATTCGAACCTCAGTGGCGTTTCGCAACCTCTTTAATTAACAAAAGGAAAGCTTTTTCCCCAAGCCCTTCAGTGTAATTAGAAAGGTTCTCCTTGTGGGTGACCTGTCTATGGACTTCAACCCAGGTGAGAGATCACAATGCCAATTGCTCACGGGCAGGGCAATTGTTGGGCAGCAAAGCCCAAGCTGTCAAGAACATTCTCAACTCCTTGCCCAAGAAAGTGTTGACCTTGATTGTGGATTACACGATTGAAGTGGGCTGGGAGCGGACTCCATGGTCTGATGACTGTCTTGGCTCCAAAAAATGGTTGCCAGGATTTCAGCCTTTCGGCCAATCATTGAAAAGATGTTTTTCTTATGGAGGGATAGGTTGTGGTCTATATGCTTTCTCAAGTAGAGGGACATGGTATCGGTGGAAGGGAAATGTAGCTGAGGTAACAAATGTTTGAGACATAAGCACCGTGAGGTTTCGGAGCAATGCTGGGGCAGTTTGGGCCGCACGTGGAAAGGTTAGCGATGAAAGTGCAGAGATCTTCGTGGATTGGCTGAGCTAATAACTTGTGGTCATTGTGTGTTTCAACATTTTTAACATTTCTTTCTGAACAGTTCTTGTTGGCCTCCTCTTTCAGGGCCTTCAAAGAGCAACATGTTTTCCACTTATTGAGAAGAGGGGGGTTTGGCCTTTGAGTTTGGAGGTGATGGCGCTCATTGCCCAGAACCGCAAGATGCCATCCAATTTGAGCCAGAAGGTTTTGAGGGCACAATGGGACCGTTTGGCAGAGGAATCCGCTTGTGTTTCAGCAATGGGCCATGAAGTCCAGGGCCTGCTGCCAGTGGATGACACCGCGTTGCACACCTCGTGGCATGACCTTTTCATTGTGGGCGATCAGAAGATCTGTGTGGAGATTCAGAGTGCAATTCTTTCTCGGACCAACTCAATCCGGGATATCCCCAGCTTGCACCAGTTGATCACCGAGCATGCTTCGAAGTGCCCTTTGCCTGCCACCAAGAGCGTGGCCACTATGCATCAGCTTGAGAAGGATCAATTCGAGCTTGTTGTCAAACAGATCGAGTATGACTTGCAGGCCTTGCGTGTTGCCAAGTCCAAGCGAAGCACTTGGGAGAATTCCATCTACCACATCAAGCTCCAGCACAAATTGGATCAACATCGGAAAAGCCAGGATGCTGCGAGCTGGTTCATGCAGAACTATGTCTGCATTGTCCACGGCGACAACTGTGATGACATCATGCGGAAGTTCCAACTTCACAGGAGTGAAACAATCAACCGATTGCGCTTGGACAGTCGAGCCTGTGCTCTTTGGCTATTCTTTGAACTATTTTCTGCTTTGCCAAGAAGTTTTCTTTTGATGCCTTTTGCGTTGTGTGAGTCCCCTGGCCCGAGGCAAACTTTGTTTTTGTCAATTGGCTGGCTCCCTGCACCATCAAGAACTCGATGATGAGCGCCCAAGCTTCATTTGTTGCTGCTTGCATCATGGGAGACCCTAGCAACTTTGGGGCGGCCTTGCTTCCCATCTTTTCTTACAAGAAGGGGCAGCTTTGGATGGTGGAGGCAGCCGCTGTGAAGTCATTGGCCATGACCGGGTTGAATGTCGACCACTGCTGGAACATGTGCTTCACCAAGAAGGCCTGGGCCTACCAAATTGGGGCTGTTTCTGGATTGCTGAAAAAGACTAAAGATTGTAAAGCTTGTTTGGCAATGGCTTCTCTATAAGTCATTCGTGTGTTGTTGAGATGCCTTGAAGGTGGATTCACGAGACGGGCGCCCTTGCAATTACCCGGGCAGACTATTGATCCACCCAAGTTTGAGGGACAAGGTGTGGCAAAACATTGCCCTGCTCAAGACTGGCCGCACCAATGCATGTGAGATGCTGCACAGCCGAGATATGGTTGCCATCGAGGATGTGAGCCCAGATGCACTTCCGGCCACGGTTGACGAAAATGACAGCACAGTCCAGGGCGCCCAGAAGTACCAGCAGGACTCGTTGTTTGCCAAAATACTTTTAAGTTTGTGTCACACATATTCATACCAGACTCGGAGCAATATTTTACAACATTGTCTCTGTCATGTCTCACTGTTTGGACCCTGCAGTTTGGAGAGCCAGCGGCGCAGAAATTGCTCGATTCAGTCATTGACGGCTTGGCTCTGGACAACCAAGGTGCCTTGTTCATTGTAGATGTCAACGCTGGAGTCGGCAATCTGTTTGATGGCTATCTCTCCAAGAGGGGTTCAACGAACTACAATGTGCAGTATGTGGCAGTGATGAGCGACCCTTTGCACGCTGAATGGTTCGCTCACACCAAGGTTTGGGTTTAATTTGATACAAGAAGGTCCACGAAGTTTGCTCTAAAGTCTAATTTAGGAGAGACACGCAAAGGTGCAACTTTTGGGAAATTTAGGATAAGGCGGATAAGAAGTTAGGAAAGGTACAGGCACATATCAGTCCTAATGCTTTTCATATCAATTCTAAGAACCCTGCAGACCGAGATGCTTGCCCAGAGACACTTTGATGGGACCCTCACTGTTCCAGGCCACCCGAAGCCAGAAGCAGAATGTCCGGCAGATCTTTTGGAGCAACCGCCTGCGCCTCCAAAGCTGAATGTGTGCGTTCAGCGGGAGGACCTCTACCCGGAGATCCCTGATGCAGTGACCAAGGCCAGTCGTCAGGGTTGGCGTTCTTGGTTGAGCGTAGTGTTGGTTCTTTGTTTGGTGCCAGTTCTAGTTTGCAGTTGTCGCACGAGCGGCTTCTGACCCTGGAGGTTTGGTACACCCACAATGACTTCGGGGATCAGTTCAAGAAGCTGCTTGATGGGATCAATGAGGAATGGGGGCCACTGCCACAAGTGGACGCATCGAAAGACAAGCCAGAGGAGAAGCAGGGGGAAGGCGCAACTGGCAGTACTCCTGCCAGTGGGAAGCGCAAGGGGGCAACTGGCACCCCGCCCACTGGCAAAAAGGCAAAGGTGGATCGCTCCAAGATTTCCCTCATCACGGATGTTGGCACTGAGCAGAAGATCTTGGAGGTCCCTATGGTGAACGCAAAGAACACCGGAGTTGTTTTGCATCTGAAGACCAACAACCGCATCTACATCTTCAACAACTCAGATGCTGAGGTGCAGTTGCCCCGTGGCACCATTGTTTGTGGATTTGGTCGCGGCAAGTTCAAGCGGGTTGGCCCGAAAGACTCTGACACCTCGACCAAGGAGGTGCCATATACCCTTGATGGCCCTGACACAGAGGCAACTGGTCAATGCAACACATCTTAATTTTTTTTGTCATGTTCCTTGAATGTCTTTCACTTTGATTATGATCGTTGGTGTGCACCAGGTGATTGTACAAGGGCAGCTTGCTACATTGGGAGAGGTGGTGGAGGAGCGCCGGAAGTCAACGCCCACTGTGAAGTTGAACTACTTCGAGATGGAGGAGGCTCCACAAGATGGCAAGCCTGGCAATTTCACAGTGAAGCGCGTGCATGATGTGCGGTTCTTGCCAGCCGGAGCACCAGTCGAAGGTGATGGCGGCGATGGAAACTCTGCTGGATCACAAACACCTGCAGCCACGCTTTTGCCAGTGAATGCTTGGAACAGTGCCTGGGAAGAATCCGGTATATTGTGGTGAGTTCATCCTCTTTTGGGGATTGCTTATTTTTTGTATGTGTTGCAACTGCAATACTTTGTGATTTGTTAGTCCGGTTTAGTTTCAGCATTGTTTGGGCTTGGTTTTTATTGAAACTCCAGGCCCTATTGCAAAGGTGGTCTACACTGTCAAGTGGGCAGCGAATGGCTTGGCCCCTGTAAGACCACAAGTTGTTCTGCTTCAGGATTTGGATCTGCCAGCTGCTCGGTGCGTCTCCCTCTCTTGAGACCTTTGCCTGCCCTGAGCGGTGCATGCTGTGCGGGTATGCAATCCATTTTGGAAGCAGGGGTGGGGAGTGTGTAGTGGCATGCAAAAAGAAAGGACTTTGTTGTTTGGTGAGCCGGTTGATGCAGTCTTCAGTGGTCATGCCTGTGGCTAGAAAGTGCACTCACCCTGTGCCCACATGCTTAATAGGTGATGCCCTGCAACCTGCCCATAAAAAAAATATGCGTATATCAAGTCTCAATGACTCCTTACTGTATTTATACTCAGGACTTCTTCCACTTTAGTACGCTGTTGGAGGTGGGGTGCTGATTGGCATCTTTTCTTTGGGGTTAGTCTTCCTGAATGATCAGGCGGAAGACAGTGGCTTTGAACCTTGGACCTCTCGAAGCTTTCCAGCCAAAAAAGTTCACTAGAATCAAAGCTGTGTGTTTGAATCTGGTGAGGGGCCCAGGATAAGTCCTTTGGAAGCTACCATTTGGCCTACCGTGACAACCACTGCCAATCTTTGGGGTCTGTGCTAGTCAATCGCCCTGACTAAGCGCTTAGCAGTGTATCAATGCAATAGCCGATGGTCGTGGCAAAGGCCATGTCACCAGCCTGGAACACAGTGGAAAATCTTTCGGGCTCTTGGCAGTACACTTTCAAAAAAGCAGGTAACTAGAGAAACTCAGGTTCAGGGTGTGTTCCAAACGAAAGATTAAGAGCTAGGAACTACAGAGCTCAACTTTGGCAAGGTTGTGTATCAGTGACTGTCACTATTTGTCGATGAACACTTGCTACAACTGTTCAGGAACGTTTCACACCAGGTGATGTTTGCAGACTGAAGTTGTCCAGTCTGAGACTTTGAGCCGTTCAGCTCAGCGCTTCACAAGTTGGCAGTGCACCAAGACTGCGAAGATGTCGCAGCACCAATTGTCCTTCACACGCGCTCGCACTTCGATGGACACGGACGATGTGATCCCAGACCAGCGAACTGTGAATGAGAAGTTGTTGCCACAGATGGGACAGAATGACACTGTCTGTCTGACCTATGGATCTATTGAGCTTTGCAACCTTCGTTCCATTCAGTTTAACTTCTTGCTTCTCAAGGGCTTGGATTCCTCAGGCCCAGTGTCAAAGTTTTCACACTCGATACTCAACCTTGGTTAGTACAACATTTTTCACTATTTTGTATTTTCCCAAACCATGCAAATATTTATCCTTTTTGTTTCAACATGTATCTAGGATCCTCTTCCAGAATCTGATGTGCGAAGTCGACGACGAGATGGCCACCCAGATCTTGCAAGAAAAGAAGCCTAATCCCCAGAGCCCTGAGGCCAAAGCTCGCGTCGATGCCCGCTCCTTTGCGTTGGAAGGGATGCAGATCATGGTGGTGCCAGACAATCGCCTGAGCAAGTCGGACGAATCCTATGTCAAGAAGGGAATGAGCTTCAACTCCAAAGAGCTGGGTACGATAGACATTCTTCATGTTTGCCTGCAAAAGTATGCAGTGCTAGAGCGCCACAGCCGTCAGCTGAAGTTGGGGGTTCCCATCAAGCACTTTTAGATTTACTGTCTAGCACTGGCTGAGAATTTTGAAAGTTGGTGGGGCGTCCAATGTGCCAGAGGTGTCATTGGCTTCCTAGTTATAGTCTTAGACCTTAGAGTGGAGTTTCTCAAAGCGCCAGTGGTCCACAAACGCGCGACAGCGTGTCTTCCAGCCAATTTACTATCAGGTTCGTCCGTGCCACCCACACTATCTTCAACAACTTTTTGAAGCATCTCACAAATGTTCCTGGGGCTCTGTGCTGAAGTCCACCACGCCCAGGCCACATGTGAGACGCGCCGGCAAGACCACGGCAATGCGCCAGCAAACCGCTGGTTGTGCTCACAACCGGTTGAAATTATGACAGTCTACTTAATTGACTGACCATTTCATTTCAAAAGAGGAAAGTCTAGTTGCGACAGCCTAAGCACTGAACTGTTTGACTCATTGATGTCTAATTCCAGTGTGTGTGAGAGCGGTGTCTCTTTGACACTTGTTTCACATGCAATGAGTGGTTCACCACTGCAATGTAAAGCGACCAGATTCTCCCAGAGGATTTTTCCAAACATGGGCTTTGGGACTCGTATTAATGTCTACTTTTGGTAACCGCTACCACCTGTGTTTCTTCTACTTGGCAGCTGGTGGTGTTTCTTCCACTTGGCAGCTGGTGGCTGACATGAAGCAGGATAGGAACTAACCCTGCGCATATGGGTAAGCTTCTCTCATCAGATTCTTGGCGAACAGAGGTGGGAAAAAGAAAGGCGCGCGAAGACACATGGGGAAGTGAAAGCGCATCATGTGTGTGTGGGTGTGTGTGTTTGTCAAAAGAACGTGTACCAACTTTACTTAGAGAATTCCTTTTTCCCCTCCGTGAACATAGGCTATAGTGAGCCCATCATGTAATATGTTGGGCTCAATGTTTCTTTGGCTCCAAGCCTGCTGTATAAATAGTGTATGCCCAACAGGCCCTGATGTGACTCAATGTGTCTTTATTTGCTTGGGCTCCAAGCCTGCTCTATGAAATAGTGTATGCCCAGCAGGCCCTGATGTGACTCAGTCAGCCTTTGACTTGGATCATGAGCCAGCATGATGCCAGCTTTCTAC